GAGAGGCATCTGCATGACCGAGGCCGGAGAGAAGCGGGAAGAGGCCCGGCTGTGCCCGGAGCTTTGGCTGGACACTGCACCGAGCGCAGCCCCGGCCCCCGCCGCCACCTCCCTCCGCTCCTGTCCTGGGAGGTTCGGCACACGAGCGGTCCCGCCCCCGACCACTCACTATTCCATGGATTACCTTCCTAGCCTTTCCAGCCAGCTCAGTTTTCAGAGCTGAATCACAGAGTCACAGAATTGTTAGGGCTGGAAGGAACTTCTGGAAATCATCCAGTCCAGCCTCTCATCAGGGCAGAGTCGCCTGGAGCAGGTGACACAAGAACGTGTCCAGGTGGGTTTGGAATGTCTCCAGAGATGAGACTCCGTGCCCTCCCTGGGCAGCTGCTCCCGTGCTCTGCCACCCTCCATGGAAAGAAGTTCTTCCTCGTGTTGAGGTGAAACTTGTGTTTTAGTTTATGGCCATTGCTCCTTGTCCTGTGCTGAGCACCACTGAAAAGAGTTGGACGCCATCCTCTGACACAATCCATATATGGATTTATATGAAGTGTCAATTTTGTTGTTCCTGTGAATAGTCACCAGGAATAGTGACTTGGAAGTTTGCCTTTTTTTGTTTTTGATATGTATTAGTGCTTAATGCAGGAATCTATTCTTGTAGAACCCCCCTCATTAACTTTTCATAGGTGTCAGGAGTTAGACTTGATGATCCTTGTGGGTTCCTTCCAGCTCAGAATATTCCGTGATTCTGTGATTTCAGCTGCCATGCTGAGAATGTGTTACGTTTCATTTTATTTATCCTTAACTTACTTTAAAGTATTTATAATGCTTTTGTCAGTTTTCTGGGCCTTGGAAGCCTATTATCCTAGACCTAAGGGGAAGGCCTCTTCCTGCCCAAAGCCACAGGGATGTGTGGATAGACCAGGAGCACACTCACCCCACTGCTGGCATGACTGCGTTGTGAGGAAAGCAGAGGGTGGCACATTTATTTGCTAGGGCAGCAGATTCCCATTTCCAGGATCTCATCCATGGGCAGGCGGGTTTAGCAGGCAGGTTTATCTTCCATCGATGCTGCTGGAATATTTTAACTTTCTGTCCTGTGTGGAATGATTCTGGATTGTAATACTTGCTCTGATCTCCTTCTTCAGGATCCTGCTGCTGATCCATCGCAACAGGAAGCAAAACAGAGGTATAAATGAGGCTACTGAATTTTGGTCTTGCATCTAATAATTTTTAACCATTTACTCTTTTGTTTTTGGGGTTTTTTTTTAGTATTTAATTTCTTTGGAATGCTGCCCCACATTTGTTTTGTTGCTGGGAAAACCACCAACAAAGGAATTGAAATGGATCAAAGATTTGATGCAGGTGTGGCTCCCATGCCATGACCACACTGCCTGAGCCCTGCTGCCGTGGGAGGGCATGATCAGAGAGCAGCAGCAGCTCATTTTCACTTGGGGCTTGTCTGAGTTCAGTAACCTCGTGAGCTGCAGTGATACAGTAGGGTGCTCTGGGGAAGCATCATCCCTCCCACTGTCACCTGCTTCTGAAGACAGAATCCTTGGCTTCTCCGGGTTGGTAGGAGTTTATGATCCAAGTCTTGAAGGCTGGCAGAACTCCTCCCAGACTGGTGCTTTCTGTCAGTGGTGGGTTTGGCTGTTATTGCAGTGGGAAGAGCCTTTCCCAGTTGATAGGATTTTTCTGGGATATCTATTCCAGTTAAAAATCTGAAGCAAAATGGTTTCTGTTGAAGCTCAGTGTTCAGTATTTGTGCTAAGGGGAAAATTGTAAACAAGTGTTTGAAGAGCCGACTTTGCATGGTCCAAGTCTATATTAACTAAAGCTTCATAAAACTAAAGCTCCAGTTCTGCAGATGCTAACACCAATTATTGTAAATACATGGAGACTTAGTGAAAAGTTCTAACTACATAAATGAGCTTTGGCTTGGTTTTGGAATTGCATTCAATTCATTGTGCCTGCTTTACCATGTACTGCCTTGGGGTGAATTCCACACGGATAAATGCAGGATCTAAGGGGTAGCACAGCTTTTGTCTCTTAAAATGTAATCATGAGGAGTGAGAAGGTGTAAGTATGAAACTCCACCTTGATTTCTTGAAAGATGTTGCCAGCTGTGTAACTTCAGCATGTGCAGAGTGCCCAGGTGGTGGAAAAGATGTCATGTGAATGTAAGGTTTGAAGTGACCTCAAGAAGCCACTTCCATGAATCAAAAGTGTTCTGTAGTTTGCTGTTCTGTGCATGTTATTTTAGGTGTTTGAAATCCCACTTTTAATGTGTGCTTCACTTTTACTTACAGGGAAGCAGAGATAAGAAATACTATTTTAGCTCAAGTTCTTGATCAAGCAGCTCGCGCAAGATGTGAGTATCCAAGTAAATTTCTAATTAAAAATACTCATCTAAGTGACTCCTCAAAAGTGTGTGTTGTACGGGGGCCAGACTAGAAAAATACTGTTGTTGCTGAGAAAACTTGCAACTTTTCAGTTGGCAATATCAGTGATTAGAAGGGAGAGGCTAGTGAGTATCTGAATTATGCAAATGTTTTTGGTTTTATTTAAATTAGTAAAAGGAATTATACTGAGAGTCAAAGTTGTTTAATTAGAAGCAAATATTTAAAAGTAAGAAATATAACTGTCTTATACCTGGCATAAATGAAAATGCCTTTTTCAATGTATTTCACAACCCTGGTATGAAGAAGATTGTTTCCTAGGGACATTTCTCACGTTTTTATTACTAGTGAAGGTATGGGAGAATGTTTAAAACCCAAATGGACAGAGCCTGTTTTTGTTGCAGTAAGCAATTTAGCACTTGTGAAACCAGACAAAGCAAAAGCAGTAGAGAATTATCTTATACAGATGGCAAGATTTGGACAGCTGCCTGGAAAGGTGAGTATATTTCCTAATTCTTTCTCACAAATATTTATTTTTAAACCCAATTCACTCTAAAACAAAAGACGTTTATAATAGATGTAAATTAAATTAAGTGTAAATAGGTCCTAAAGACTATTACATAATTCCATCAAAAACCTTTTGTAAGAAAGCAAATTGTGATTCAGTTGTTTGATACTAAGCATCTCTCAGTGTGTGTTTATCCACATTTTGTCTGACTTCCCTAGGTATCAGAACAAGGTTTGATAGAAATACTTGAAAAAGTGAGTCAGCAAACAGAAAAGAAAACAACAGTGAAGGTGAGTTTCCTTTCCTAAATGTCATGTTGTATAAAGTAAAGCAGTAGAATTGCATGTGTGGGTGGAACTTTTTGTTTGCACCTCTTCCCCTGCCCTGCTGGGTGCTGGGGTTCCAGCAGAGCAGTCCTAAACATTTGCAGCTCCTGGGCCAGTGTGGTATGGGACAGCCTGGCTGGGCCTGGGGTGGCAGCTGAGGGTTGGGATGGGTGTTCTGCCCAGGCAGTGCCTTCACTGCCATGTGCATGGACTGGGAAAGGCTTGTGCCAGCCTGGATTTACCATGACCCTTCAATTTTCACTTTATGTATTTCATTTTAGTTCAACAGAAGAAAAGTATTGGATTCTGATGAAGAGGATGATTATTAATACTACTGCAAGGCTGCCAAACAATAGCCTGGAAAAATGCTGTTAGCAGGCAGAAGATCTGAAAATGTTTACGCTTCTTGACTCTTTTTTTTTTTTTTATTATAAAAGGCCAACAAATCAACTTGTAAAATAAATCTGAGAAGGGGGATTTTATAACTTAAAGTTTTGTAGTATAAACAGCCTGAGCAGCGTGGGATTCCCCGTGGCTTCATTAGCATGAATGTTTTGTTGCCCCTTCCTCACTGTAAGCTCTGCTTTCAGCCACTGCACACACTTAACTTGCTGTTATTGGAGATACCAAACACAGGAGCCAAGTGAGAAACGGGGAACAGCCACTCAGAGTTCAAGGTTTGTCCAGGCTCTGTCACAGAAGTGTTAGAAAGGAGATTCCCTGAGTCCCTGAAGGATGCCTGCCCAGCTAGTCACCGGCTCTCAAGTCCTTACTGGAAATTTAAAAATGAAGGTATCCAAAAAGCGTTTGGATCAGAGGATTCCTGTCAGGCAGTCTGTGTAAAGAAATGTTCCCAGCAAACAGTTGAACTGTTCTCCCCTGTGCGTTCCTGGGCTCTCAGACAAAGCAAGTTAACTGTGTCATACACAGCACTGTTCAGACACTTGGTATCGTGTATTCTTACAACTACCTCCACTTTTATCAAATGGCTGGAGTGTTTCTGAAAAAATAGAAAGACCATTTTCCTAAACTCTGCAAGTCCTGCATGCATAAAGTAAAACTGAACTTGTGCTGTACCTTTATTCAAGAATATGGTTATGGAAATCAGTAAGACAAATACTGTAATGTGCTGATAAACTCTCCCACCACAACCCCCTTATCTGACATAATTTAACAAGATCGTGTACAATTCCAACTGCAGTGTTTTTTGGAACAGAATAAACTTGTTTCAAGTGAGCACTAGTGGGTGTGTTTTTTATCTGTCTCAATGTGATTAAAAATATGAAACAGTTGTTATTTTTGTTTCCTTCGGTTTAGACTGTGCATTTTGTTTCTCTGTGTTTGCAATTAGGATGCCTTAGCATTAGTGGTACCCTGAGTGTGCCAAATTTCTTCAGACTAATCACCCATACTGAGTTTGAAGCCAGAGTGTGGTGAGATGATTCTTCTTATCTATATAGTTGAGAAATCTGAAGAATAATTTAGTTAAATGCATGCTACAATTAGAACACAAGGAACATGTTTTAATTTTTTAATGTGAATGTAGGGCTAGAAAAGGAAGTTATGTGAAAATGCTGTTTCACTAACAGTTCTATTTTGTACACCCCTGTGCATAAATCTAAAACTACATAACCTAATAAAGTTATCTGTAAAGGTAGGAGGAAGGAAAGTCCAAGAGCAAACACAAGGTAAAGTCTTCAAATGCATACAAAACCAAGCAAAGAAATCTGGAATAGACTCAATGCTTGGACAAAAACACTCAAACCAGCATTTTCAAGAGTTCTTTTACTAGTTTTTTCTTTCTATCATTTGGCACAAATCCAAGGCACATCAGAAAATCAGATTAACTCATAAATTATTAGAAAAATAAACATATTACCCTCAAATCCAAATGTCATTTGACATTTTACCTCTTAGATTAAAAATTTATCTGAAAAACCCACCACTCAATCTTCCAGCTTTGTATTTTGCCAGGTAGTTTACTAATACCACAGTTAAAAGAAAGAGAATTATCTATACAAATAGTTCATGAAATAAAATGCAAGCTGGATGTGATGAGCCAAGAATAAAAAAATACTGCACTGCAAAACATGGCTTGTGCTATTTACACCTTCTCCTCCCATAACCGAACAGTAGAAAATGAACTTCAGACCTAAGCAGCCACTTGGTAGTTCCGTGTGAGCTCTCAATTCTTCAGTGATCACCCCTGGGAATGGGGCAGGGTTTGGCCTATTGCAGCCAGTGCTCACTGATGTGAGAAGTACCTTTCATAATGGGAATTTCACCTTTTTAGGAGCAGTCCAGAGCAGGCTCCGAAGCAGTTTTGTCTGTGGATGTTGCCTAGGTTCAGAATCACAAATACTTGTGCATTTTTGCATTACTTGCTTTAGAGGAGGGGAAAAGCAACCCAATTTTGTGTGCCCTTGCACCTTGTGCTTGCTTCTGCTTTTTTATTAGGCTATGAATAGCAAGTCCAAAGTTTAGCTTTGTCAAGGGCTCTCCACTTTTTCCCCAGTACCTTGGCTCCTCTCTGAAAACTTGATATTGCAGCTCCAGTACGGGGGAGCATTGCTGAGAGATTAGCAAGGGTTATATCCCTTCACATTAATAATGCAGATGTTATTGTTTGCCCAGCTACTGAAATATACAGAAATATATATTATAATGGTTTGTAACATTACAATAAAAATAGAGACATTTCAATTACCTCTGGAAATAAATACCTTGTTATTCAATATATCTTTTTATATATATAAATATATTTATATTCTGAATGTAGTGATACAAACTGAAAATGCAAAAATTATTCAAAGACTTTTAAAACAAAGCAGGTGGCTGAAAAATACAATACAGGGTTTCATTTGGTTTACTGTTACATAGAACTTTTTAATAAGTGCTGAATAGAATAGTAATTTTGTTGTCTTCATCTCATTACGTCCCTGTTAGTGAGATCAGTAATACCTGGCTGTGTTGTCACCTCCAACATGAACAGAGGAGTCAGGCCCCAGGTGCCAGAACATTCCAGCTGTGCTGCAGAGCCGGCCTGTGCCTGCTCTGAACTGGGACATCTGACACACAGCGAAGGGCTACTGAAATTCACACCACCAACTTCCTCAGCTCCAGGCCTCAAATCCGTGCTGCCCTGTCAGTGATGGGAAACGGAGCCATCGCAGTGGTGGCCCTGTGGAACACCGGGCTCTGCAGGGCTGCATGAGCCACAGTCACTGCCCTCCTCTGCTGGCAGTGGCACATTGACCGTGTGTCTGCGCTGCATTAATTTACTCCTGTGAGGAGCCGCCGGGTCGTCATCTTCCACAAACTCACCACTGCACCCCGTGTCAGTCACCTGAACTGTGCCCTGGTCCAGCGTTCCAACAGATTTTAATTTGCTTTTATCAAAGCTTTTAATAGCCATCTGAGGAGAGAGAAATGGTATGTTAAAAGCTTTATCTACTTTCTTCATTAAGAAGGAAAATTAATACATTGTTTCTTGAACATTATAGTCACACGAATTTAATGACACTGAAAACACAGCCAAGATTTAAAATAGCATACTCTGTAAGAGAGTAACTATATTTAGGCTACATATGGGAAAACAGAGGCCAACCTGCCCCAGGCTACACAGAGATCAGTATCAGACCTGAGAACATAACAGACTCCAAAACTTATTTTCACCTCACTATCCCAACATCATCCCAACTCTTCTAAACACCTTTTGTAATGCAAATCTCACTGCACTTGAAATTAACAGCCATTTATTTTACTATGAAGAAAAGTGGAAGTAGTAACAGAGAGAGTCACCCAGGTACTGCTGAAGGCATTTCCCTGCTTCCAGAGGTCACCTGTCAGGGAAGAGACACCCACCCTCCCCACCCCCTTAGTGCCTCTTCTTGGTCGTTCCCCATATTCATAACTTCCATTTCCACACCTGAACTTCCATTTCCACACCTGTACAGAGTGAGTGGCTGTCCTGGATTACTGGCCACTCTGCAAATGTTAAAATAACCAGGAGAAATAGAGAATCCAAGCATTCTACTGACAGATCTTCTAAGACAAGAAATAAAGGAGAAAGTAGCTTTTTTACTGAAATAATGGCAACGATCTTGTAAAAGCTGCAGACAGAGGTTATGCACGTTTAAATCCACTAACAATTCAGAGCTTTATGGACTCATGAATCAGTTCAGCCACAGCAGTATGAACTCACAACCACAGAACAGGGCTGGAGTGCTTTGTATCAGAGTCACATAACAGTTTTCTGACACCTGTGTATTGAAATGACATACTGCCTTCAGTGATCCACAGTTATAAAATCTAAATCCCAAGTTAAGTAGTGGAATATTATCATTTAGAAAGAATTAATAAAATATTACAGCTTTATAGAATTAATTTCGTGTTCTCAAGGCTTTTGGTAAATATTCAGTCTTCTAAGGGCTGTAGGAAAAGGAAGAGTATCCCATTTTCCAGAAGGACATGAGCAACAGAATCTGCATTTCCAAGGCTGGGTCAGTCTAATGATGGGCAGCTGCTGGACTAACCTGGTAAAAACTGGGGTTTTTTGGACAGGTCATTTTTCTCTTGTTTAGTGTTCTGAAATGGCTCAGCAGAAGATGCAATGAGAGTCAAAGGCAGTGTAAAGGAGCAGAAGGAGCACAAGCTCTGGGGAAGGCAGCATCCAGCAGTTGGTGCACCCCAAGCAGAGGTGAATCTATTACATACATTTGTGTCACAAGTGACAATGCAGCATGCAGTTTGCTGTCACCCTTGCAGTCTCCTCTTACAAGCAGACTTAAAGCAAACCCTAATTCCAATCTACGGAAAAATGTCTCTCTTGCCAAAGCAAGCTACAGCTCTAAGAAGCTGCAGAGTTTTCCAGTTCTAGGTTTTGCTGGACAGGACACAGAAAACAAGACAGAGATGAAGCCTACAGTAAGAGGCCTAAGAAGTTTAAAAGTGAAAATGAAGTGTTCAAGAGGCATCATAGAAGCATCACTGAAGTTTGAACAATGATGAAATGATGAAATTTGGCAAACAGGTCAGAACTTTTGTGATTCAACGACCACCACGAGTAAACTTTCTCTTACACGTACCCAGAGTAATAGAAGAGCAAATGAACATATTTGCTGTAATATAAGAATAATCTGAGCAAGTATTTCCACTTACCTGGTGCAGTAAGTGATAGTCAAAATTAGGGACACTTTTATCTCTTGTTATTGTTCTCCGTAAGTGTTTTTCTCTGAAGAAGATTTTAAAGAAATCAAAGAAATTAAATGTCTTCACAGAAGCCTTTTATAAAAGCCTCTCTCATAAGCTCCACAAGGTGGAACTGTCTCACCAGAGACAGGCAGCTCCCTGACACCTTCCCAGAATTGCAGCCTACTCACATTCCCTGTATTTTACTATGGTATATACATTAAGGCTTAAAAAGATAATGAGCAAAACCCAACCAATGAATGAACACCACTACAGTATTTTTAAGCAGTCTGGCTCTGAAATGCTTAACTGATGGTACACCAAGTATTAGTGCAACCCCAGTTTTAGATATTTTCAAGCCCTCCCTCACCACCCCAGTGAGTTTGTCATGCCCAGAACATCTGCCTGGGGATGTGACCGTGCCAGCCCTGCAGGATTAACATCCACTGTCACACCACCATGTCATGTGTAACCACCCCTGACCCACTCTGGGGCTTTATTAGCAGCTGCACTTCTCCTTTGATATGGGAAACAACAAACATACTCTGAGCAAGCTTCTCTGCTTACTTGTTAAATCTGTTAATTGACTGGACCAGTTGAAGTTGTCTGCTTATGGGATCATCAGCTTCCTCACAGGACTTAGGATGCACTGGGGGTTTAAAAGAACAGGCAGCTAAAATTACAACTCAGTCACACATAAGAATTTAGAAAACACAGTTCTGATTTTAAATTTAACATAAAACTGTAACACTGCTAACTTGAATTAGAGTGGTGATTTATCTTTGTAAATTTTAAAAATTTTAAAGTTGCAGAAATAAACATTCTTCCTCAGATTAGTACAACTGGCCAAGCTTCTGAAGAGACTGTAATTCTGGACTTTGAGGCCCTAAATTCCAGTTTTTACCAATCTGAATTAACACACAGATGCTAAACCACCTCTTCACTAGCATTACTTACTCATATCTCCTATTGCTCTTTTAGAACTATTCGTAGTATTTGAAAGAATTATGTTCAATTTTAGGTATCATCAGCATGCTGTGACTTATTGTGGTTTTTTACTGACCAGCCATTCACAATCTTTCTGAGGGATGGAGGCAAGAGTTACTTTGAAAACTCATGGATGCTGGAATGTGCACTCCTGCTCCTCATCTTCCCTGATTCCTGCTTTGCAGCCTCCCTGTTTTCTTTCTACAGTACTGGTGGCATCAGGTCCTTTGCTGAGCTGTCCAGCTCAGGGGGCACAGCTTTGCTTACATCCCCAGGGTAGTGAACTTGAAAATTCACCTGAAAAACTTCTGAGCCAGCATAAGGGGAGCAGTGGATAAGGCAGATCAGAAGCTGAGGGTGAGAGGTGAGGAGGGAGAATCTGTGGTCCTTAAGCTCCATCTCAGAGGCTGCTTAGGCACACTGAGATGGGGGCCATGTGTCAAATCCTTTAAGGAGTGAAGTAATTTTGCATCATTGAATATAACATACAATGCTATTGCTATTAAAAAAGGGGAAGGGCAGAGGTAACATTGCAAGATCAAAGGTATCAAAAGGCTAGTGACCCATCCTTCCCAAGGCAAGGGGCCCTGCTGCAGCCCAGCTGTGCTGTCACTGCACCTCATGGCCACACTGTGCCACCTCCTGCCACTTACTCAAAGTCCTCTGCAAACTGTGCTGGAAGGTTCACCTCTGTAGCTCTCATTTCTGTCCCAAAACATGAGAGACAGTAACTAATGAAGAGTCACTCCCTGAGCTGTTTTAGGACAATATGAATGACACCCAACAGTCATGTTTTGCTTTGCACTGAAATGCAGAGTTCTTACGTGGTTAATAATACCATCTCAAATGTGGTGTGTTTTTACCTTTAAATGTTTTTATAGGTAAAATTCACACATATACCCTAAAGTAGGTGAAAACCAAGTTTGAAGCAGTGGGTCTTGAGTACAATACAAAGTCTGCTGCATGTAGTTTTAGTATTTTAGGTATTTAGGTGTTAATTGACTGTTCTATTGTTATATGTAAAGTAATTACATAAATATTTGATATAGTCAGCCATGAATTCCTAAATCCCTTTTTATTCATATCAGTGGAAATATCACAGGTACCTTTTTTCCGTATCTTGACAGTAACATGCTGCTCACTCTCCTTCTCTCCCTCTGCTGATGTGGGGACACAGCTTGGTGCTGCTTCCAGCAACTTCAAGATGCTTGAATTCTGGATTTTAAGAGTTTTCATTTTCACCATTATTAAAGAAAAACAACAGTACAATTTAGTATTTTAGTCTGTGCAGAGTGTGTTAATTAATGGTTCCATGAATCAGTACAACACACATAAAATAACTCATTATAAAGACAAACTTGAAATGGTATAATTCTGAGGAGGGTCAAAATCAGTGTTCCACAAGTTACATTGTAATGCAGCGATGATGTTGGAGTCCTGACTCCTTATTTTAAGCTGTATTACTTATGGTTAAGCCAATTTCAGTTTAAATGGTAATATACATAGGAAAATTGATTCAGTACAGAATTTTGTGGTCCTTAAGCTACATCTCAGAGGCCATTTAAGCACATTAAGTTAGGGGCCATATGTCAAATCCCTTAAAAAGTGAAATAATTCTGTATCATTTACTGTTACATATAATATTATTGCTATTAATAAAGGGGAAGGTCAGAGTAATCTATTGCAAGATAAAAGGAATCAAAAGGCTTCAAGGGCAGAAGATGGTGGGTGGGACAAGGAACATTGCTGCCAGTGCAACTGATTAGTGCAAGGTGTTAATTTGCCTACATCCAAAATTGATTCTGCTCTCTCTGTCATTACAGAGATTTTAATGCTAATTTTATTTAGATTTGTGCTATTACTCTTTCTAGACTCATCCTTTTTGTCTAGGATAACTTATTGTAGAAACACAACTGGCTTCACAGGCCACAGGAGCCATTTGTAGGCTGTGGAACCAGCAGGCATCTCAGTGTTTCTATCCCCCATAAGTGCTGAACACAGCTCACTCAGTGCAGCCCTGCTGTGACAGCAGCACTGCTGCTGGCCCCCCTGCCCTGCCCTG